CAGCATAATAGAAACCAAGGAGGAATAATCCTCTACCCCAGCTCCAGATTTGTCCCATTCTGCCACAGCCACAGGCAGAATAACTAAAAAGTCTCAGCATTTGGAGATTCATTGAAAGTGGTGATGAAGATATTGTCATTCAACCACATCATTTCAGAAGACCACAGGATTTTCCAGGTCCAAATCCTAGCACCACAGTGTACTGTCTCGTTAGGTGCTGAACTTCATTTGTTTTCCAATGTCCAAGGCAAGTTTTTGTGCTGAAGGAGAACAAGGTTTTTTTCCTTTGTTCCGTGATGATTTTGGTGCTTGGTCATTATGTAGAGCACAGTCATCAGCCTCTGACATCAAAGGCTAGGAATCCTCAAAGCCTTTACAGAGAAGGCTTTGGAAATTCAGGAAGTCCAGAGGAACGCTGCTGGCACAAACTAGGGTCATCTCAAAAGTGACTGAAGTTATAGGGTCCAATTAATCTATGCCATGAAATCCCACATATCTTCAAGGTAGGTAGCTCATCTTGTGCAAGGAACACACCCAAGAAATGTTGTAAAAATCTACAGGCAGGAGGTACACCCAGTTGAAGAAGCAGATAACAGCTCTAAGGTTGTTATTACTGTTAACCAACAGCACCTTTTGGAAGAGATGGGGAGCGTATGGGGAATGCTGGCTGTTTGACATCCTCGGTTCGTACTATTTTGTACTGTGCTGCCATCTGAGAGCGCCTCTATAGATTGACTGATCCCTTTCTCCAATGTGATTACAGTAAGTTAAGGGTGTTTCACATGTGACAGGTCAGGTGTGTCCTCAAATATCCATGTTTGCCTGGTATATTTTCCCAGCTTTTTTTAGTAACAAGACTTGAATTTCATTTGTGTCTCCAGTGGGCATCTTGGGAAGACCTAATGCAAACATGGACCATGGACCATTCTCCAGCCACCTTCCATTCTAGGTGCTTCACCAAAATCTGAGCCACATCAGCTTTGACACATTTAATATCCTTCCAGCAAATTCAACGCAGAACAGATAATACCCCTAAAAGCCAAGTCAGTCATATCCTACCCTATCATCTCAAAAGAGCACACACTGGTTCGAAAACACGCCCTAATGAATCAGCTTATGCTTAGGTGCCAGGATTATACCTAAACAACTCTGAAATATTATGTCACCTGCCACGTTCCTATGAGACTTTATATTGAATATTGAACTGGTATGCTGCCAGTATAAAGGCCTTTCATATATTTTATCTGCTTTAGAATGGGCACTCCAGGCAAGGGCCATAAAAGAAAGCTGTCAAGTATTCAGGTATCAATATTTCTATGATGGGTCATTCATCTGTATAGTGTAACCTTACCCCAATTTCTATTCCTCAACCTTTCTGTTACTGAGGAATTTCCATCTCTCAACATTTTTCATGAGTCCTAAAAAGTGATCAATACCCTTGCTGGTTTTCAGTGAAATACGCATGAACCCTTACAGCAAAAGTTAGATATGTTTTCTAGATAGGCAATACTTTGTCATTAACATCATGGATGATGGTATTGATCTCTTAGTCATCACGTAAACCCCTCCATCTTATATTCTTGGGAAGCATATCTACCACTGACGAGGCAAACATGCAGTTCTGTGGGCTATATTAAATCTCAAATACGAAACATTTTTGCAGGTAGATTTTCTAGAGCTTTGTATTGCAGAGGACCGTTTATTATCCCTAGGAAGAACCACCCTAAATTTGCCTGCATAGTCAACATGAAATGGCTGTAGCAAATCCTGTATTTGCACATTGGTGTAAAACTTCTGAGACTATCAGTATCTTAAGCATTTTTATCCAAGTCGAGTTTTCACATAAGCAGCACGTACAGGCACTTATCTTGCATCAGGTGTTCCAGTTCATTGGCAAATGTGCATGAAAAATTCAAAGTGTTTAGTTTTGTCTGTTTGGTTTTTTACTTTACATCAATTCTCAACCAGTAGTGCCTTAGTGCTCATTAGCTATCAGCAACTCCATCTTTCTAAGAAGAGTTTTAAAAAATGAGAATATTAAAGCTCAGTTTTACCTAGTCTTGCGGATGATATTGCTCAATTAAAAAACATTACTTAACTGAAGACTGTTCTTTTCCTGTATTCTTTCACATTAATTGTAGGTTTTTGAAATACTATCCTAGATTAAAACTAATTCAGCTATGCTTCTGAAAAATGAGTCTTTCTTTTTTCTTTTAATCTATAGTCAGAACTTAATTTTAGAAGTCCTAAAATAGGATCTTTCAGTAGCCAATGGACCACCATAGATCAGTTTGTTCCATTTCAAGATACATGTCCAAGACAGATGGGATAAATAGCCCTCTGGACACGTATATCTCTTTCAACTGACTATGTGCAGCCAGCTTATTTTTTAGATAGATAAAATAAGGCAAGATTGAACTCACCATAACATTTGATCAAGATATATCACGCACAACACTGACACAGGGTTTTTCTAGGCTGCTTGCTTGAGCAGTGTGTAGGTTGTTTCCTTATTTGGTTTGTATATATGGTTTTTACACATTTTTGAAAAAAATTTATACAATCTCAAAATCTTCTGTTTGGAATAATAAAAGCAAAAAAATAAAAAAAAAAACAACAGAAAGTATACTTATAATTAAGCTTAAACTGAATACACGTCAAAGCGGAACTTTGTTGTATGTATGCTTGACCTTAGGCAGCTGAGCGGGCTATTGATATTGAGAGGATGATGTAGGTCTATCTGTAAAGTTAAGGCTGCTCTTAAGAACTTCCTAGTTTAAGTCAAAACTTTTTGTAGTTTTGTTGGTATATACAATCAGAGGCAGCTGTAACACACACTTTCTAAATGGTTGGACAATGAATTCACCTTTTAATTGAGCTGGATTTTATGTGTCTATAAAAGAAAAAGAAGAACACATGTAAAGAAGTTATACACAGCGCAATTGTTTTTGGTAGTTGTAAGAGGGACCATGAGTCAGACATTTCTCAAGTTTCTATCTGTGCCATAAGAAGCAGTTGGCTTTACAACCGAGCTTTTAAAGAAGCAGGTAAATCATATTCAAATGGGCAGGCATCCTAACATATTCGAAAATACCTGTATGAGTGACAAATATTTCTGTAAGAAAACAGACTCTTCTTTCAGAGTGCTTTTAATTTAAGAAGTGTCTCAAAAAAATGGTGGAAAAACAGGACTTCAATTTCTGTGAAAGCATGTTTAATTTTGAAACATATAAAGATGTAAGAATTCAAGAGAAAATGTTAGCTAGTTTAAATATGAATTGTATTAATGAGAAGAGAGCAAGAATCTTGTCTTCTAAGTGGTTATGACTCATACCTTCCAATTATAGCATGCATACATCATACTTCAGTAAAAAAGAATATCAAGCATCCTCTGGATGGAAGGAATTTAGATACTTGGTGAACCAGTAGCTGATTAACAGGCACCAGACCTTATCTCGTGAAAAAAACAGTAAGCCTGAGTCTTTCTCATTTAGCCTGCTGTAAAACACAAATAATTCTGCTGCTGCCAATGAGGTTACTTTATTGTTGAAACTGGTATGAGGGCAGAATCAATCAAAAAATGTCTATGAAGTCCAGTTTCTGACTTCATTTAGTTTTCAAAAAAAATACTATGGTTTTAAATGTAAACATACACAAAACTCCATACCCCTTTAAATAAAGCTAAAAGTCCGTTCCCAAAGGCATATACTAAAAAAAAAACAAACAAAAAATTCCCAAATCACGAAGCTCTCAAGTTCAGTTGCTTAAGTGCCAAAGCGCAGTTTGCATTTGCTCAGCAGCAGTGGGGCAGAATGATGCAGGCTGCGACGGAGCATGTTTCTCCTCCTCCTTCAGCCTGTTAGGGTGCTGCTCTGTGCCTGCAAGGGTGCAGGGACCTTGCACATCTGCCATTTGTTGCAAGGCTGCCCTGTGGGTTTTTTTGGATTGCGCAAAAGCTTCTGGGAATTGCAGAGAAGGCTAGGAAGTGCAAACTGTGCCTCGCCAGCAAGTAGAGCATAGTTCAGATCAAATGCTGTGTTTCAGAGGACTTCTTGAGAATTTAGAGGAAAGGGGAGAGCAGCTATCAAGCAACATCTAAAATGTCATTAGGGGAAACAGATGGCCAGAAACCTTAAAAAAAGGGGGTTATACCCAAAAAAGCATAAAGTGAGAGTCTGTTTTTCCTGGAGGACTTCTGCAGATGAGGCAGGAACAAAGCTACATGGCTGGGGAAGCAAACTGTAATGGGTGAAGGGGGGAAGTTTCACCATAAGTAATTCTACCGTGACAGATTTCTTTTTGTTGTTGTTTTTTGTTGACTAGCTGGGAATCAGTCAGAATTTTGTTCTGCCTCAGTCTTATTTTGTGCTACTTTGTTTTTTGCAGAACCTATAACTGCATCCATCTCCTAGTTATATTGATGACATTTTGCTTTCTTTTATGCATGTTATATTTAACCTCTGTTCCTCTAGGTCTCATTACACACATATTTTGCAAGAAACTGAATCAGTGGAGCACAGGACAGAGGAATTTTTAGTGAGAGTAGGATTTTGAATGCTTTGGGTGGCTGGGTACAAGGCTGACTGAACACTGCCAACACCAACTGCAGCACAAACCCTGTTTACGTACAACACTGACTCCCAAACCTTTTGGTCCCTGGGATATTACTAGTCCTCAAACTTCCTTGTAGAGCCAGATCTAGCTAATAAATATCATGATAATGGTTACTCCTGAACATGTCTAGCTGTAGATCACCTACCATCAATATGGTTTTCCCTAAAACAGTCGTACTTCTCACTTCCAAGTACCGATACCATACACAGTGCATCTGCACTGCAGCTCTACAGGCTCCCAATGTGGGGATTTGCATTGTAGAAGAATTGTTTGCAGTGACTTTGGCCTGACATTTGCTGAAGATGGTTTTACTAATGGAAATTACATCCAAAACTGTTCCTGTCTGAGCTCAGAGAGACAGACATACACACAGAGGAAATACTCACCGGTCTCAGGAGAAGTTGTCTTCACGGAAAGAAGTTTGACTCCTTCTTTATCTGACTGAACCCTGTTGAAGTCAGAAAACATTTAAGCAGACAGTCAGCATGCAGCTCAGCATACATGTTGGTCAGCCAAACAAAACCCTAAGATAATGATCCAGAGGAGGCAACACCTATGCTAGTCTACACTGGAGGGCTTGAAATGGGCTTTGCGTGGGATCATGCATAAGTCTTGGCGGTGGAAAACACCATATACCAATATCTCTGAAAACACCTTTCTCAAAATATGTAATAAATCAAGTTGCATGACTCCAAGTTCAATCTAGTGCTCCGCAGAAGAATTACATCTGGGGGAAAAGAAGGAGTCATCTTTTTTCTCTGTCAATACAAGGCTTTCAGTCACACTGAATTGCAAGAAGGACCACTTTGCATGTCCAGGGAGTCAGGGTTAGCAAGTAAATCAGCAGCCCAAATGTTGCTTTTGGTCATGCAAAACATAGAAGCCACAGCCAGACCCAATGGCCTCTAGTATACATCTTCTAATGGATCATTCTCGGTTTCATGCTCCCGAAACTCCTTATGCCAATACTGTTTTAACTGAGCATCTGCAAATGGACTAGTGGGGAGAAGATGGGACAGAGCAAAATGAAACAATGGGGGACAGGGAAAAAGAAAGAGAAAAATAATCCAGAATAAAAAACATTAAAAAGAGAGAAAATATGAACAAAAAAAGGATAATGGGAAAGGATAGGGGGGAAAATAACCCACAATCAATGGGGCAAAAATTGAGAAAAAGAGAAAAAAGACTGGGCCAATTGGCCCTGTGGCACAGCCTAAGCCATTTATCCATTTCAAAACAATCCCCAGCAAAACAGTTGAGAGCTATCACATTTCTATCCATGCTGGGACAGCTGCTTATCATGCATACAGGTGTACAATAACTGCAAGCACATCACTTTCAACAGAATATTTCTCTTTGGGGTGGCAACCACTTATTATGTTTATACAGAGAAAGATCAAAGAAAATCTCATGCGGAATCTGCTGCATTCATGCCCCACGATAGATCTCGAAGCAATGAAAAGACAGGATTCAACATACTGTTCAGTGCCGTTCTCTTGTCTCTCTGGAAGAAGGAACAAAGTTAATATTACTTTGACTGCTGGAACTAAGATAAGTAAACATTTAGTTGTAGCTATGGCAGTTGCTAGCAGAAGGCTTAGTTGTGATTTTGCAGTATTGCATTAAGTACATTAACACAATCAACCACCTTGAATGGTAATTGGCATCTTTCTAGTCCATCTTCCCCAAAGATAACCACGTCATCTAAAAAAGGGAACTGATACTGCTTGAATCAATACTTCTGGAAACTAGGGAGAACGATGTGACTTGCGCAAGAGCACAACAGAAGCACATATTTCCCTGCAGCTCCCAAATCCCCGGGTAGCTGGCACAGAGGAGGCGAGCATGCAATGGTTCCCCAGTACATAACAACTGAGCTAAAAGATACAGGGTGAGGGGAGTGAGGGAACTGTACGCTTTGGGGGGTTTAACCTAGCATGACACCTGAGAACAGTCTGTCATCCCTGCTGGTGAGGAATAGGTTTCTCCCCAAAATGAATCATATACCAAACATATTTTGTTCTTATGTGCGAGTGTGGGCAGATGGATGGGGCCGAGGGGTTACATCAGGCACACGGAGCCAATTCTAGCCCCATGGCTCTGGGCACAGAGCTCTCCATACATGGGGGAAGCACACTGGGTAGACCTGAACAAATCCTGCAGGAAGCACCACAGATATCGATCTACTCTAGCTTCCAAGTGAGTTTGCTAGTACTGTGCCTGCTGGCATTTTTGCATGGGGGTGGCTGGTGAGGAAATGTTCTTCACCTCATAGCTTTACCTCTCGCCTCCAAATATTCAGTAATTTCCTGAGCAAGGATCACACCTCCTCTGTTTGTCTGGGTCTGGTTTTCCATGTCATTGGCTAAATTGGTTACGACACGCTGTTTGCCTTGGTCTACAGCTTCGACACCCTGTTGTGATCTTGCATTTCCAAGGCCTAGTGATTTCACAGTTGATGCTCTGCACAGGTCTCCTAACTCATGCCAGCTCGCAGGGAAAGAAAAACCACAGTCCAGCTTCAGATTTGGGTTTTCACTCGATGGAGAATTACACTTGCCTGCGGCCCACTCAGACAACTCTTTGAAACATTTGGCAAATGGAACTCAATAGAATTATGCCCTGTTATCTTAAGTATTTCATGGACAGCAGCAAAACAGACACTGGCTTTAGCTGACCTGTCAAAATGACTGTTTCTGAAAATACTGTTTGCTCAGGGATTTTGTTCTCATGTATGTTATAATGTAACTGGAAAGTTTTACTTATATATAATGCATATATGTGTGTACGTGTGTGCATGCATGTATATATCAGGTGTTTCCTAAAAGAAAGCATTGATATTTCTTTGCCTGTATTTAGAACAGAGATAAAATAAATATAGTGATTTTGTTAAACAGTATCTCCAAACCTAGTTTTCACTTAATTTTTCTACCTGATTGATGTGTTAGCACAGCTGTTTGTTAGCTCTTTGTAGCTGCAAAAGCATGGCAAAAAGCTTTACAGCATTATGTATTCTCCAAAAATCACAGACATTTTTGCTCCCTCTGTTCTTCCTACTGATTGTGAAAACGAAGTGTTACTTTCCTACTTTAGGCAAAATGCTTTGAAATACAAGAAGCTTTCCTATCAGACTCCTGCAACATCTATGGTTAAGGTAATCTAAAAAGGCCCCAGAGATCTTTTAATAATAAATAGCACATTGATCTTCCCCTCCCCCCGACAGAGAAAGTAAACCAGATACCTGGAGTTTTCTTCTGGCACATTCTGTACAAAGCCACCAGTGAGAAGACAGAAAGGGTAATGACTATTAAGGTGATGACAATTGGCAAGATAACACCTGCAAAAGAAGGATAACATAATTTTCCCTGCTGCCCCTGGCTTGCATTGCCTCCGTGTACAGGCACTCTCATGCACAAAAGCAAGAGGCACCTCCAGCTCCATTTCACTAAACATTACCAATTTCTCTGGAGCAGGGTAACCTGCTGCTCTTATTATTCCTCCTGCACCCACCGAGCCTCAGGCTCGGAGCCTGTGTGGAAGTAGGATTTAGGCATCTTTCTTCCCCAACCTAAGTCCTTCCCTGGCACCTGCGCTGCCCTCTGGAGCCGGTTTCACCCACTTTTCTGTAGGAGAGGGCCCCACTGAGACCACCATAACCTTGGTCAAAACACTCGTGATTCACCCCCAGTGTCAACGGCCCCCAACGGTTTTGCAAAACAGTCGTGTTTCAGGAATAAATTTTTGATACATGTAATTTTTTTTCCTCTTTTTTGAAAACAAGACTCATCTGAAATTCAGCAACTGAGGCGATTATTTCTCTTTTAACATCGTATGCCCAGAAAGACACGAAGGCGTTACATAATTCAGTAATGTTCCCCACAGCACTTACAACCAGGGATAGAAAATGCAAGATCTCCTTTTTAAATGAGGACATTTCTTTCCTTTTATTATTTCCCACCATCTGCCATTTCCTGACAGGTGTTTCCCAGCCAAGAAGCAAAAAGGAAAGAATTATGTAATGAAGAGAAGCTTTCCCTGGAAAATATATAAGCCCAGTTTCTCCCCATTTATCTTTTTTCTGGCAGTGATTGGCCACATTCAGTTTGAGGGAAGCTGCGGCTGCAGTCCCACAGCCTTCCTCAGCATCAACCGTCATGCCCGCCCAATATTTAGAACTAGCATCTTTGATGGCTCTTGATGCAATTAATATTTAATATTCATATAGATGTGCGTGTGTGTATCTATGGAACTAGAGGGAGAACCCAGAGACAAGTTTACAGTGGAAAAACATCAAACATATTTTGCTAAGCCAGTACTTTGGGTAGGAAATAGCAGATCTACAGCAACACACTTGCCCTAGAGATGCATAATATTAAAAGAAAAGATTAAGTAACACGCACCATGCAAATATCAAGTACTTGAAGAGTTTCCAGAAGACTCCCTCCTAGTCCTTCTCTCCCGTGACAATATATTCATACAATACATTCATAACAATATATTCATATAATATGTACTCATAATGGTATATGAACAACATTTTCATATGTTTTCTTGTGTCTTCTCCCACAGGGGATGACTCTGTTCACATTTTTTTTCCAGTCTTATCACTTTGACTTCAGTCCATGGGCATAATTGTGCTGCTCTCCAGTGGGAGTGGTGTCAACTTGTTAAGCTCCGTTACTCTTTGAAAGAAGTTTTATAACAGGCAGTTAAATTGGGTTCATAATAGGGTCTACTTCTGGTAAGGCTAGAAATAAAACTGCCAGTTTCATTTCTCTGCTACTCCAATCACTCACCGAAAGCCAAACTGATCAACTGAAAACTCAAAAGCTGGACAATAAAGCAGGAATACTCACTAGAATAGTGGATAGCACTCTCTGGCACTTTCTTGTTTCCAGAACTGCTTCCAGGACTGCCAAAAGCTGGATTTGTAAAAGAAATATTGCCTTTCAGGTTAACATGTGATTGTCAGAACTCCCCAAACAACTCCCCCTGAAAAATTACCCTCCCAAAACAACTTCTGTTCTGTTCTGGAGCCATTTGGTGCTCCACAGGTATAGTTCTTCTCAATAATACTGGGATAACTTGCCAAGAGGGGTAGAAAAGTTTATCTAGTGTGGCCTAGAAGACAGACACACTTTGCATGGGTGCAGTGCACAGGATAATCTCGTTGTCCATTTACAAATTATGAGCGACAAACTTTTTCACTTCTAGGAGGTTAATGTACTCATCAACATTAGAAGAGATCTCTTGATGAGCAAATAAACAAGAAAGTGAAAAAAAGTTCCAAAAGAAAGAACCCCCAAAAGAAGAAAGACCAACATTTTTCACTGCTAATTATAAAAAAGTGCTAATAGTAGATTAAAAAGTACAATATTACTAGTTAGCAATTTTCTTGAGAGTTGAGAGTTATAAAAAGATGTGCATGCTCTCTCTGTCACTTTTGGGGACAGCAATGACTGTTGGGAGCCTCTGGGTGTTTTTTAGGGCAGGGTTTAAAGGAATGCATTTCTACCTTCAGGCGCTAATCTGAATTTGAGTCAGGTAGCAAGAGCCCAAGATATTTATTACCTTGTTGCATACAGTCTGTGGAAAAACAATCACTGAACTTTGAGAAAGACAAAAGAAAAGGCAAACATCAGTGCTTCCCTAGTTACATCATACAGCACACAGGACCGTATTCCGTATTGGATGGAGGCCCGAGTAGATGTGTGCTTACTGCCACTGAAGCAGCTGATCAGCTGGACAAAGGGATAGCTAGATGCCTAGCATCGAAATTGTAATGCAAGGCCAAGCATTTCCATTGCTCATTTAAATATCGGAAATGGCTCTCAAACAAAGGCGCCTGGGGAAAGTTGTGTGTTAAGCAGGGGGGCTAGTAGAGAGTATAACTCTGTATATAAGTAGTGAGAACATGCTAGCAGCCACTGAAGCTCTGATCCATTGCTCAGGGACCCATTCATACCCCATACACCTGTAGGGATGCACAGAAGAGGGCTCAACTTTATGGGTAGGAATTACAAAATTAGCTGGGTCATTAAAACCAATTTCCCAGAACCATTTTGAGGGCTAGAATACGATTTTTTGTTCTGCTAAGTCTCTGTGCGACAGGTCCATCTTTTTTACAGGTGGATTTTTTACTTTTTTATAAAGGCAGTACATATAATACTAGTTTCCTGAATTAGAGTAACAAACAACGTTTGTTCGTCCCAACCCTGTAGGGGTTCCTTGCTGCACTGATTTTAAAAACTCAGCCCCACTTTTGAGAAATGTTTTGGTCATTGTTTTTTCTCCACTATTCTCCTTTTGCCCGTATTCCCATTCTTACAACATATTGGTCTGTTCAGATATGTAAGAGTTCATTGTCTGCTGATGCAAGCGGAGGAAAGCACAGAGCAGCCAGGGGGCAGTTTCTTCACAGGTTTGCTGGATATGCCAGTGTACTGGATTTTCCAGGTAACTAGGAGCCACATGGTTCTACTTAAAAATTTATGTGGATTGACTGGTAGTGCAAAGGGAAAGATTTGAGAGCGCTGTGTTTTCATTTTTGTTCTGCTGTTGTGTAGCTGTGTGAATTTTGGGCAGATTGTTTAGCCTCCCTGCTTCCCCCCCACCCTGCTCCATTTGTCTGGCCAGAGGCTGAAACCTCCTGGGGAAAAATGATCATTTACTACTTACTTGTGTGGTGTCTAAACAATACAACCACAGATGAGGCACTCTGATGCTATAGTATAAGAAACAATCATTGTCTGAGACACTTATCTCTGAAAAATTGTTATGTTTCTTTAAAGCAGAAGTTCTCTCTCGGTGGTGCCTGTCTGCTGAGCAGTGATAATGTAGGGATGGAAACTGTGAGCCATCATCAACTGACTGAAATAGTTCTTATGAATTCATAATTCCATGTGATTGGTTTAGATTTCCCAGGGAAATACTACTGCCCTTTTCCCTACCTTACCTGATATACTGCATGATATACAGGGCAAACAGGCAATTATCACAGCAATGAGTTATCCTGGATACTGACTGAAAATGTCAACAGAAACAAATTACACTGAAAAACACGAACGCGTATCCCTGCATTTGTGCAGCATCTCCTCAGGAGAAAAACTGAGGATTCAAATTCACTGATTATTTTCCTTGTTCTCTATTAAATGCGAGTAATGCAGGAAAGACAAATCAATAGGACAGGGCAACCCCCGGTATCAACATGGCGGGGGGGATGAAGGGATTGAGAGCAGCCCTGCTGAGAAGGACTTGGGGGTACTGGCGGATGAAAAGCTGGACATGAGCCAGCAATTTGTGCTCGCATCCTGGAAGGTCAGTTGTATCCTGGGCTGCATGAGAAGAAGCGTGGCCAGCAGGTTGAGGGAGGTGATTCTGTCCCTCTACTCTGCTCTGGTGAGACCCCACCTGCAGTACTGCATCCAGCTCTGGGGCTCTCAGCACAGGAAAGAAATGGATGTGTCAGAGTGGGTCCAGAGGAGGGCCACAAAAACGATCCAAGGCCTGTAACAACTCTCCTATTAGGATAGGCTGAGAGAGTTGGGGTTGTTCAGCCTGGAGAAGAGAAGGCTCCAGGGAGACCTTATAGAGGCCTTCCAGTACTTGAAGGGGGGATACAGGAAAGATGGGGACAAACTTTTTAGCAGGGCCTGTTGCGATAGGATAAGGGATAATGGTTTTAAACTAAAAGAGGGTAGATTCAGGCTAGGTATGAGAAGATATTTTTTACAATGAAAGTGGTGAAACACTGGCACAGGTTGCCCAGAGAGGAAGTAAATGCCCCATCCCTGGAAACATTCAAGGTCGGGTTGGACGGGGCTCTGAGCAACCTGATCTAGTTGAAGATGTCCCTGCTCGTTGCAGGGGTGTTGGACCAGATGACCTTTAAAGGTCCCTTCCAACCCAAACTGTTCTATGATTTTAACTACTTGAGACCATAAGTGAGAAGTACAATAGCTAAAAAGAAGCACTACTGAACAAATAAAATAGATTAAGCAAGTGAAAACTTTAACTCAATTATCCACTTCAATTAATGAAGTTTCTCACAAGCCAGCCAATCCCGTCTACTTTCTCTGGATCTGGAAAGTGAATCTGGAAGATATTTTCCAGCTATGGAATGATACGGGATCAGAATAACAATTGGATTAATACATCCATCATGGTAACAGGAGGGACAAACTTTTGCTGACAGCAGCAGCAAGAACTGCAGGGACCAGTACCGAAGAGGCTGTTTCCTGATAAGCCCAGAGAAAGGAAAATAGGACAATACAGCTTCACTAAGACAGGAAACTCTTGCCTTAGTCTGGGACCTGCTGCTTCCAACCACAGGACGAGGAATGAAAGCCCCTCACAAGAACAAGCTCCTTGGCAAACACTCTATTTATATCAGTTTCCCATTGCATCATGCAATACACCAGGCCTGATTTTTTTTGTGCTCCCCACCCTGTTTTCTTTTCAGTATCTGTTAGTCCAACATGGCAGTCAGCTGAAATCACAGCAAAGTTACTCATTGCTACAACTTGAGCATCACTTCTCTGCTTCTCTGTACTGTGCTTCAGGTTCATTCTTCCCCCAGAGGCTCCTTGTTCCCTGAATGTTTCCTTCCCCCAGGCTGTCCCCCTCCCACCCCACGCCAGCCCTTTTCGTCAGCGCGCACTGAGCTCTTACTTGTTGATTCTGTTGGGGAGCTCACGTGAAGGCCTGCAATAAAAGAGAAGGAAGAGGTTTATTAGTAACTGTTTTAAGGTTAGATGTCCAGAATCTTCACATCATACAAAGTGGCAGACTCTAGGAATGTAACCCCACAAGGAACGCTGACCCAGAACTGACATGCTGACACTGTTCCCAAGCCCAGAAAGTCTGAGCTGTGAAAGTCTGCAGACATCCCTTAAAGATGGGAGCAGAATCCAAAGCACAGCCTACGCTGGGTTGTTATTCTGCTTAAGAGAAGAAAATCCTGAATTAATTGATACATTCCTAAAAAATTCCTCCTGCCAAAACCAAATAAGTGCCTGGGAGTGAATAGCTGGCATTTAACTGACAAATAAGTGTTTTAATAAAAGAACCTTAAATGCCTAATTGAGACACGTCTTCAAGTGTCACAAAACCCTTTAAAAATGAATCTTCATTAATTATCTTGGTGCTTTTGGCAAGCAGACTGCCGAGCAGCAGGAGTAAGAGGCATTGGTAATGAAGAAGAAATGGACCTTGTAGAGTGCTGTGAACAATGCTTACTGGTCCACTACCGTCAGCTTCCCCCAGTCACTTCTCAAGTTTTTGGTGCAGAACACTAATTTTTTGTTAGCTTTTCATTAGTATGCTGCTGCTTTTGTGTATCTAGACTGTAGCATGCTTGGAAATTAAGGCGGCTGTGAATACTTCACATTTGGAGGCTAGCCACAGACAACCATCACTCCCACAGTAATTTTTATTATAGAATCATAGAATCTTTATGGCTGGAAAAGACCTTTAAGATCATCAAGTCCAACCATTATCTAACTCTACCAGGCCCACGTCTAAACCACGCCCCTGAGCACCATATCTAGACGGCTTTTAAATACATCCAAGGATGGCAATTCAACCACTTCCCTGGGCAGTATTTTCCAGTCTTTGATAACTCTTTCAGTGTAGAAGTTTTTCCTAATGTCTAACATAAACCTCCCCTGGTGCAACTTGACGCCATGTCCTCTTGTCCTATTGGTTCTAACTTGTGAGAAGAGACCAATGCCCACCTCTCTACAACCTCCTTTTGGGTAGTTGTGGAGAGCAATAAGGTCTCCCCTCAGCCTCCTTTTCTTCAGCCTAAACAACCCCAAGTCCCTCAGCCGCTCCTCATAAGATTTATTTCTCAAGACCCTTCACCAGCATTGTTGCCCTTCTCTGGACACGCTTCAGCACCTCAATGTCCTTCTTATACTGCGGCACCTAAAACTGAACACAGTATTCAAGGTGCGGCCTCACCAGTGCCGAGTACAGGGGGACAATCACTTCTCTAGCCCTGCTGGCTACACTATTCCTTATGCAGGCCAGGATGCTGTTGGCCTTCTTGGCCACCTGGGCACACTACTGGCGTGTGTTCAGCCGGCTGTCAGTCTACACTCCCAGGTCCTCTTCTGCCAGGCAGCTTTTCAGCCACTCTTCCCCAAGCCTGCATTGCATGGGGTTGTTGTGGCTCAAGTGCAGGACTCAGCACTTGGCCTTGTTGAAGCTCATACTGTTGGCCTCAGCCCATCGATCCAGCCTATACACATCTCTCTGAAGAGCCCTCCTACCCTCAAGAAGTTCAACATTCTCACCTAACTTGGTGTCTTATGCAAACTTACTGAGGGTGCTCTTAATCTCCTCATCAAGATCATTAATAAAGATGTTAAACAGGAGTGGCCCCAACACTGAGCCCTGTGGAACACCACTTGTGACCAGCCAGTAACTAGATTTAACTCCGTTCACCAGCACTCTCTGGGCCTGGCTATCCAGTCAGTGTTTGATTCAGCAGAGTGTACGCCTGTCAAGCCTTGGGTAGCCATTTTTTTTTCTGAGAGTGCTGTGAGGAACAGTATCGAAGGCTTTACTGAAGTCCAGGTAAATAACATCCACAGCCTTTCCCTCATCCACCAAGTGGGTCACCTTGTCATAGAAGTACATTAAATCTCTTCTGTGATCACTCTAAAGTCAAAGGGAGCTGGGCACCTAACTCATCTGTATCTTTGAGAATATCCACCTGTGTGAACTGGCAGCAAAAGATTTATCTGTTTGTACAAGACAGACTGTCTCTTGTCAGGAGCTAGTGACTGGCACTTTGCCTGCCTGGTGAGGCCTCTCACACCAGATAACTGAAGCTACCATGGCAAAAAATCCCTCAGGCAACATATTCTCAGCAGTTGCTCATTATTTTGAGGTATAAATCACAGCATTTGTTCACCTTCCTCTACACTAGAGGGCACCATAAAAGACCCCTTGTTGGGTCTCTTCAGTGTTCACTGCTGCCACAGCATCTGTGGGGAACGTGGTGCATCTGAACTTGTCCAAGAGCTCTCTGGGAGGACGTGACCCACCAGCATGTCCTCCATGTCCCAGCTGTGCCAGGCTGGGAGACCACAGAGGGATCGGCATGAAGGCAGCCATTAACTCCAGACAGGCATTGAGCTTCTCCCCCGAGTGTGTGGGGTTGCAGCACTTCTCTTCTGACCAGGGTCCCTGGGAAGTACAAATCCATTCTTATGCCCTCGCTGCACTTTGTGTGCTGTGGACTGATACTTTGCACAAAGACAGCTCCTACCACTGGAGTTGTAACATGAGTGAAGCACATTATTCTACTGCTGTGAATGTACTTTGAAAACCAGAATGGCTGCTCATGTTTTCCCTCCTCTCTACACCCAGTTAAAAACATGGATTACTTGGACCACTGAGGTGCAAATAACCACTTTTGCTACTGATATATGTGACAGAGCTTTAACCGCATTCTAAGCATAAACATGCATGAAAAGCATGTTCAGGCTGAAAAGCCAAGTACTTAAAAGTCAGCAGCAAGAGCTCTTCTTGAATATACTAAATATTAGTAATGCTAAGTCCTCTGAACGTATATAGTTATCTCACCCTGGCTTCCTAGGATCCAGAGGAGACTTTTTTCCTAAGTTTTTTTATCATCTCATCAATCCATCTGCAAAAAGCAGTGTCACCTTGCTCAGGGAGGATCTCTGTGATGATTCATTACGCAATGTTTATAGCATGTTTGGGCAACATTAATGATAAGAGCCAAGGAAAAGCTTTCGGGAAGTTAATAACTCGCCTGTCAAAGGAGGTTTGCAATGACACATAGTACAGAATGCAGCAGGACACATACCTGGCATTAAGGAAACATCCAAATATGATATGATTCCCTGGTACCTGAATACTGCCTTCCCTTCAGCCTATAAGGAGTGGAATCCCATGGAAAAAATACCATGTGATCACACAGCAACCATTAAACAAGCAAACAGTAAAGCCCTGTATGTGCATATCCTTGAAGAAAGGCAGAAGACCTTGTTATGTCTCACAAATACGTCACTTTTCTATGAAACTTCAAGCCTCGTCTCCCAAGCCTGAGGAGAGTTGAGCTTTCCTAAGAAACCCCCTCAAGACTATAACATAATTATACACTTTCCCTTAACTCCACTCTTGCAAGAAAAATGAACCATCTTGGCTCAAATTAGAGCAAATAATAAATAGAAAATGCATGTCAAGCCCGAGACTGATATCCGGGTTCACCCCAAAGACTTAAGGTTCGTCAAAGCTGTATGCAGGTGACATTAGGCTCTGTGAACAGTAAGGGTCAGGCAACCTGCAGTTCAGTACTCACAGACACAACTAAAATCCATGCTGCTGTCCTGGCCAGATCTCATCACTTTGGTAACCTGAGACAGCAGAAATGGTCCCAGGTTGGAAACATGACAGCAGCCCCCTGCCTTTCCTTTCAAGGACTGTAGGAGCCTCCTGAGCCTTTGTTATTTTTTAAAAAAAATGCACACATCTACACATAATAAAACTACAAGGATCTTTCCCAAAGATATCTCACACAGATTCTGCTGGAGCATGAAAAATTAAACAGGAAAAATATTGTGCCTTTCTCTCTCTATCCTCGTCGCCAGTATGCAAGCAAGGCGCCAGCTCACCCTCTGTTCAGAGATTGCTCAGTCCTGCCACACAAACAAAGCTGTGCTTATCGGAGCAGTTCAGCAGGTGATTTCAATTTGCATTTTCTAAATAACCACCCAGCGCCCTTTTTGGTGGTGGGGTCTGTTCTACAGAAAGAGAAGGACAGGCAGCATTTCGCTTGCTAACATAGTTACTGTAGTTGTTCGAGCTGCCTGCTCAGAGCTTACCACATCCTTTGGTGCGGTGAGTTAGGGGGCAGATGCTCTGCATAAATAATCTGGGAAGATTTCCAGATTCATCATGAAAAGTGAGGTGTGCAACACTGGCTGTGCTGAGTCCTCGTTGTGCAGTAAGAAGAATGAGGATAAAAAATTTGGCACATGATGGTGGTTTGATTTGAAAATACCTGCCTGAGTCAGTTCAGCGCTGGTTAGAAGCTTGACAGATGGAGAAAGAGACCAATAACTAACCTCTCCCCACTCTGTTCTCCAGATACTTTCCACTACCTAAGCAGCCTGGATACCCTGCAGTTTGCTGCTTCTGTTTTTGGAGGGCAGCCACATGAAACTGTGTTCACTGGCAAAACAAACGAATAAATTTGGCTGATTACTCAGAGGGGATACCACAATATAAACCAAAGCAACGTTAAGAACTTCAAAGAACCCTCCTTGCCCTGACCATGCTATAGACCTGTAATTGGGTTAACTGAAGCTTTGCTATATTTCCTATTTCCCAGGCACTTCGATTTTTGTGTCTCTCTCTTTGTGAAGAAGCTGAAGATATGGTGGGTAATTTTTCCCTAATATCACTATCCAGAATTCCTACACAGTTTGTGTATAGAAAGAGTCAAACCCTCCTTGTCTTAGTCATAAGAATTTTTCTCAGGGAGATGCCTCCTGCGAATCAAGTGAGTAGGATTTATAATTGGAGGAGTGCAATAAAGATATCAATAGATGCAGCAGGTTGATTCATCTGACAGTTTATTATAATAGATCATTTGATCTTACCACCCTGCTGGGTGAACTTAAGCTCGTACTGTTTTATGGATTTTTTTGTTGTTTAGGTCACAGACTAAAAAGCTAAAATGCTTGCAGTTTCTCAGATGTATTTAGTCTCTGACTGATCCATTAAATCTCAAATTTTTCACTAATTAAACAAAAGCAGAAAATTAAATATTAGCAAGCAATCCTCTGTGGAGGTGGGGAATGAGTAGGAGTTATATTATACCTGACAGCCAAAGTTAAAGTTAAAGAAGTGCACGTGTCAATGGCACAAAAAAAACAGTCCCTTCTCCAGCCTGGGTGAGCACTACACAGCCCTTCCTCCCTGGCTGGTGGTATCAGTCTTCTTTAATACAGCAATACTGTTTTCTGATGTTTCTCCAAGTTCTTTCCTAGGCTCCCCCACTCATTTCAATTGCTCTCCAGCTCTCTGTGGCACTCCTCCCACACCCTGATCTTTTGATATGGCTGATTGGGAATCTCTCTTCAAGATGTGCTTTTTAATTTTTCTGCAGCAAGAAAGGAAGTTTTCACCAAATGGCATTTTTTTTTTAAATGGAAAATGGTCTCAAAACTAAATATATTCTTTTGCATTGAGGTTAGCCACTGAATTATTTTGGTTGAGCATACCAAAGAGAAACGTTCTGTTTTGGATCAATTTCACTTAATTTGTCTTCCCCTGAGCTCCCACACAGAAGCTGTGGCTTGGGTGCCTTCGGCTTGCAAGCTCTGCTATCCCCTATGGGCTGCAGCGCCAGCCCCCATTGCACATACCAGCCTCTACTCTGGTGAACAAAAGGTATCCGGCCCCTGTAGAACCCCCTAAATGTGAAATTTCAAAGAGCTGGGAAGAAATAATCTAATGGCAGTGAGAGAGTCAGCATTTCTTCTAGTCTCAGCACAGAATAAAACAACTGGCTTCACACTTACATTGCTTTAAAAGTTATTAGGGTGCAGCACATGGCTTCCTTTGGCCCTGCGTGATTGCACATAGGAAAAGAAATCTGTTTAGAGGGAACCAAAACATTTTTTCTTAAAGTCTTCAACATATACAGACAATAAGGGAGCAAGGGCGGTCTAAAGGTGGACCCATTTGGGATAAGCAGCCTAACTCATCAGGGTGACTAATGGGATTTCTTGCATATTTAAGCTGCAAGAAAGAAGTGAGGAGCTGGAGCTGTGAGTAGACAAGAAAGGTGCAAGTGTGGAAATCCTGTTGTGGGAGGAAGCGATTTTGAAATGGCAGTTTTATGGGAACTCAGAGTACTGGCTATGCCAAGCACCTAGACTGACTCCCCCTGGACAGATGGGCCCTTTCTTTCTCAGCCAGGAAATTATAGTCCTCGTATCTTGGGTAGTCCCCGAGCTCAAGATGATTTATTGATTTTACAGCAAAGTGAGCTAAGTAAGAGGATGACTTTCACAAACAGACCCAAGGAAGGTTGTAGAACTTTCTGGGCAAATTTTAATTTTAGATGTAAAATGTAATTGTACAAACAATGTAATAGGTAACTCAATATATGTGATGCACAGCCAGATATGTATTACAATTTCTTTCTAACCTGGAGAATTTATCTATGTGAGAGAACCTTTAACTAAAAACATTGTAATTTACTGCTTTATTGCAGTGTACCAATGGTAAAGTTTCCATACCATGCACACATCTGCCAAAAGACACAAAACCTAACAGGACAGTCAAGTAACTAGAGCTCACAATATATGCATTATGGGGCATAGGCTTATTGAAATAATTGCAAAGAATCCTCTCCAAATCAGTGGCCTTGGATTAAAAATGAAAAAAATCTCAACTTCCTTAAAATGCTTATTATTATAATACCTTTTTGCATGCTTCTAAGCATTTCAGTGCATACTGAGCATATGATATTACTCTAGTTTTATATCCAATCCTATCCTCTATGAGGAAAAATCACAGTACACGCGCATACTTATCTCCCACAAACACAATCCAGAGGTTGTAAAAAGAGTCTCGTACCCCTTGGGGGATGTTAAACTTTAATAATAATTGGCATATGCACACAAAGTCAGTGTCCTTATTGGATTTACACACATGTAGCTGAAAGTAAGTATGGAGTGAAGTGAAGGCTCAAGAAACCTTAAGAAAACCTGAATAAGTGGTTCTTCAAAATCCAGGATAGTTAAGCCAGCTAGAAGCATGATAAATGATCACTTGTATGACCTGGCATCTACGTTCAGCACAGTGTTGCTTAGCGGATAAATACACCAGAACACACCCAGAAAAACAATGAAACTGGACTGGAGTTGGGAAGGATTAATATCTTTTTGACCCTGCATGTGGCCACGTTGTACTTTGAACAATGTCATTTAATTGGTACTATGCATTAACTTGCCCTCCAGATTTATTAACAATTGTAAAAATTATAGCTGTTTTCTCCTTTGTCTCCTTTGCTTTGCAGCCAGAAAATTTATCTCAATGATCTCCTCTGGCAGTCAATGCTACACAATGACCACATACAGCATATATAAAGATTGCTATTATCTTTTGCAATTCATATCCTCCTGTAATGACACTGAGTATTCCAACTGAATGTTTTGAAGTTCACCCATCACTCATCAGAACTTCATAGCTAGATGATGTGGACACAGCATCCCTTGCATGAGTAAGGAGGTGACCCTCACTGCAGGACAATGCACAGTGAAGAAGATTCGAAATTATTTACATCTTTTTAACTGTTTGTGTAGGAAAATAGAGTGTATGTTTCCAAGACTTACCTGGGGTTCCAGGAGCAGAAGTGATTTTTTGTAGGGAGGTCGTAGAAGAGAGAGACCATGCCTTAGTAGATGAAACATCCAAACTCCCATTTTGTGCCAGTTGTGTTCCACTTTCTTGGGTAGCTGGGAAAGAAACAGCCATTCAGGTAAGATACACCTGTATAAGCATTGCCTTAGACCCTGCACCACCATCCCCCAGACAAATGTTCCCACCATCACAGGAGAGACTTAAGGTCAGAAAGCACTACAGCTTCTGGTAACGTCTTGTCAAGCGATGAACCCTCCCTACAGAGTTGTTACTACTGGCATAGTTAAGGCATCTTTAAACATCCTAGCATCAGAAACAGTCTCACATCTGTGCCAGAAGACAGCCTAGAGCTCTGACTTGGGAGCCCAAAATAACTAGACAGTCTTGCACCAAGAGGAAAATAAGCAGAAGACAGAAGCTCACTTACTGCCCTCTATCTTTAACTTTCATTTAACAAAAAATGAAAAAAAAAGCAATCTTCAGCCACAACTGTCACATGATGTGATGCTGTAAAAAGTTTTAGGGATTGTAATTAAGAGCAGAGTTAATTATTTCATTCTGTGCTGCTAAGGCCTAGGAAATAATATATCCCTGAAAATTAATGTATGAAAAATTGAAGTGTCTTATTTCTGCTCTCACAGGGTCAACAGAGGGTCAAGGCCACCTATGTCACAAGATTTGCAGCCTAGGGTGAGTCCAAGATGGTGGTGCGGGGCAACCTGGAGGCTGTCATACTGAAGGTCACCAAATGATGACAAGAGAGAATTTAAGCTGTTCCAGCGCAGCTGATAATTCTTATATCCAGGCTCAAAATTCAGCATAACAACAGGAAAGACCATGCCTACTGAATAAAACAGTATTGGGGTGCCCAAGAGTAACCTTATACTTCCTTTACGATGTAAATCAGAGATTCAGCTAAGCTATAAACTGTTTTCAGTGCCTTTTCATATGAATTTCAAACACCAGCACTAAAACAACTTTAAGACGTTTTAGTCAAACCAGTACATCATCGTGCACGTGCAACAAGTGAATGCTGAGGAATGCTTCATCACACAATTTATTCAGAAATTCTGATTACCAGTTTGGCCTCTCAAAGAACCATTTTCTCAGGAAAAAAAAAAACAAAAACCAAACACCACCCAAATGTCCCTATTCTATAACCACACACCTTTAACTTGGACTTTCCCTTCCCGTTTTGTTTATTAAGTGCAATACCTTGGAGAGGCAACCTTCAAAAATCAATGAGCTAAGAAAGAGTGAGCTGAAGCCACTGGAGTCTGGGGATTCATACAACTTTGGGAACTGAGAGGAGGTGGACCGCCAGGGATGGTATCTTTGAAGATCGAGGCATGGAAGGAAACCATACTGAAAATTATGCTAAACAAGCATAATTAAATGCCTAAAAGTTTCACTGGAATTCTAGTGAATGAGAAGCATAATTTCACTGTCAGCTCCCTCCAGAAACCTCAGCATTTTAGCCCCTCAATATGCAAGCCTAATCTGCAGTAGAGATGGATGTAAAAAGCCCCTCTACATTTTTTACTATGGTATAATGCAAGGATCTGAGAACTTTAATCATTCCTGCATTCTCATCATAGAAGCTTTGGAATGAAGCTTTAAAAGCCAACCTTTTCCTCTTTTGGTTCTTACTGTGGTTTCTTCAGCCTCAAATTTTAAATGTTGAATTTTAATCTGAGATCAAGTAAAAAGAAAAAGCAAAAACCCCAAAGAACCACCTTCTCTAAGATGCACAGGCTTGTAACAGTAACAGCAACCATCTTGTGTCTCCCTTATCATAAGTTAGTAAAAACTTGCATGGAAGAATGAAAAATAAAGCAGAATAACAGTAAGCCTTCATGTGCAGAGACATTTGAACATAAATATGCCTTGTGAATGCTGCAAAACAATCAGGTGTGTGGGAGAGATGAGGAGGGAGGCAGCCAGTTGCCTTGTAACCCTGCAGAGAGCTGTTTTCCCATGGGGATCACACGTTCCAGGCATCCTATCAGTCCTGGCGGCAGCCCAGCCCTGGGTGCTCCTCTTGTGTTTGGGAGCTGCGAGAACAGACAGTTCTCGGGAACACGGGCTGCGCGCTGGATATGCCTCGGCGGGAGATCATAGCATTTCCATTTCATTTTTTTTTTAATTTAGCCTGGATGAGATTCCTCCTGCAACTCAGGGGTAGCACCAGGTACGACTCATGCCTTTACCTATGGCTTGGTGTGAAGCTCGTTGCATTTATTTTAGCAGACTGCAAAACAGGTTCCCTGCTCCCAGTGTCAAGGGGTAAAGTAGATGTGCTGCGGTACAAAACTCTGTGTGCCAGTTTTTACCACTTCCAAGATGAAAAACACAACCTGGCAGGGAAGGTTCCCTTAATTCCACTGTACTACTGTAAGATTAAATCCTAGCAACCCAATTCTCTGCTGACTTGTGGCTTTAAAGCGGCTTTTAAGCAGCATCCAAGCCTTATGCCTAATACACAGCATAGGCTCTACCATCAACGCATTTAGCAGACTGAATAGCTTCTGTGCCAAAAGCCTATGGGAACAGAAGCATCCATATCCAGCCACTGCTCACATACACAACGGCAGCACTGACAGCACAGTATGCCTGCTAGAAATCTGCCTTTCTGGTAAATCACATAACTCATATCTATGCAAGGCTTAGTTTGATCTCAACAGGAGGAGACAGTGCAAGCCCTCAGTGCGGTGCCCGTGCTCTGCGTGGGAACAGGCGGGGGACTCTGCGCGGGCATACGGTGACTCAGTTCTGCCGTCCCCACTGACACATCGCTGCAGTAATTCATCACGCTTCGGCTCAGCCAGCTGCAGCAAAGATTTCTGCCTGCCTGGCAGGGGGAGGCCTGGGCTCGCAGAAAAGCAGCACAGGAGAGGAGGGCGGCTGCTGCTGCTGCTGCTGCTGCAAAAGCACTCACATCATCTGTTAGTGGGTTTATTGTCAACAGCTGATTATGAATAAAAATGGTAAAGCGGTAAAGATCGTAAAATAGCTGTCCGAATGGGGCTGATTGCTGCAGCGGCATAACTCCCTGGTGGTGATACAGCTCTCCCTGCTGATATTTTGATAAGATAAATGACAGTGTGTTAACATGTATTTGTCAAAGGGATAATCAACAACAGGGAACCCGAAGCTGCTCTGCAAAGCTGCTGTCTGAGCCTCAGGTATTTCCTTACTCTTTGTGCTCTTAAAAACCTTCATTTTCTTTAACCAGCTGAAATTCGACACATATCCTCACTTGATCTTAGCATGATTTTCTACTTAACCTATGTATAATCCACATATATTTTGGCATTTCCCAACAGTACTTTAAATTTTCTTTATAGCAGGCTGTTACCTAACTAGCTTTGACATCATAAGATGCTTGAAGTAGGCGGCAGATACTCTGCATATACTCTATTCAATGCAATGAATATAGACATCTGTATGTGGATTAAAACCTTACTTGGCCAATAAATGAATCAAGGAAACACCTTTACGGGATAGAAGGAACTACACGCAAATCATGTTAAAATGCCAGCATGAGGGCTTTGTATGATGGAAGACTAAACCTTCGCCCTTGAGCTTGTACTTTAGCATGAACACACATATAGGCCTCATCCCTGTAATCAATAGCCCAAGAGACCGTTTGCATTAACAAATGCACTCATGAAAGCTTTGAAAAAATCCCAGTGCAGCAAAACCAACGCAACTTCATGCCCGTTCAGAGGTATGGAAATTGGCTAGGGAGGTAAGTAAGCAGATCTCAGTTTTAACATTTACACCCATAGCTGATTGCATCTGCTGTCTGCCAGCTTTACATCTTCTGGTAAATCCCCAAGTATTTCAAAATATATGTTTTAAAACATCTCTCTGCCTAACATGACTCACCAGCCAACTATACTCAGTGTTTACCTATAGCATGCAGTAATGACCCGAGGACAACTGAACAAGCCATGTTACCTTAACTCTCTTCCAGTAGTTTTACTGAAGTAAAACTTCCTTCTAAATTACCAGTAGTTTGATAAAAAGAGAAAGAGTAGCTCCTCCACTCACTTTTATCACTTTTTAATATTTAATTTTTTATTGCACCACGATGTATCATCATCCAGGAGAGTGGCACGAGATAAATTACAAACACAACAGCCAAAAATCCACTCTTACTTGTAATTTAGTACCTTGAGCACTGACCTTGCATAAGATGCTTGCTCTGTATCCAAGGAAGAACATCATCTTTTGTTGCATTTCATTTCATATTCTCTTTGATAACACCAAGTGTTCCAGGATATGAAACCCTGATTGGAGATGCAACTTGCTGTAGCGTGGCATCATAGAAATTCTTGTTTTGGGGCCTGGTCTGCACAACTGAGGTCACTTTTTGACTAAATGTGAGCTATTGGATTTGACCCCTTATATTAATAAGAAGGATAAGGAGACAAGTCTAGTTGCTGGCTTCCAGTATAATAAACAGGGTAGGAGTGCAAAGAAGGAGAGATTGTACTTATGGCCTGCAGAGGAAAAGAATTCTGAAGACTTAAAAAAAAAAAAAAAAAAAGACGAAGTTGTTTGCATGATTTCACAGCATGTAGAGCACTGGGGGCTTTTCCTGAATTTATAATAAAAGGTGACAGCAGCCACAGAAATTGCAGTGGAGACAGGAAGCCCTGTCAAATCTCTGCTGTGTGAATGTGATCATTCACTGAAGCTTTTAGCAGGGATTGAAGCTGAGAAAGTGATGGCCTCCATTACAAAACAACAGAGGCTTTTTATTAAAAATCAGATGTAGATTAGGTAAAATTTGAAGTGTCATAAAGGCACTGCCAATTTTTGCCTCTGTCCCATACAGCCAGCCCAAAACCGGGGAGAAGTGAGTGCTAGTGAAAAAGAAAAAGAAAGACTAGGCAACTTTCATCTCCTGTCCATTTTGAGAGTAGATCTTGCTACGCCCACGCTTGTTTCAGGGCGCGTGACTCCCCCTGCCCTGTGCTGCTGCTGGGGATGCCGACAGGGGCTGGGAGGGTGCAGTGAAGCAAAAGGCACCTCACCATGCCAATGCGTGGGGTGGAAACAGAAATATGGCTGTAGCCAGCAGCCAGACAGTGGTTGAAGGGTCTGTGGGCTTTCTGCAAGGGCTGGCCACGCATCTGCACAGCCCCTGTGCCTTGTCCCAAAGCCACTGCCTTGCGTCCCATCCCATTCCTTTGTGCTGAAGCCAAGGCTATGACTTTCTTGAAAGATAGACCAGAATTTTGTCTTAAAATCATTAAAATTCGTTTTCACATACACAGATTTTCCAAATAGTACTCAGCATTGAAAGAAAATACAAAGTCTTTCAATGCAGTGCAGTTCCTAGAGTCTCCTTTATTTTTCCTGTTTACAAAGCAGAGTGAGAGGCAGGGAAGCTCCATTTTTAGGTTCATTTATCAACTATTTTTATCACAAGTTTTTGGGTATTTTTTAGCTTAAATGAGGATTTTAAAAAACAAATCACAACCCAAGCAACTAGGGACTAAACTTTAGCTGGTGAGAACAGAACACAAGAGAAACAGAAAAGAAGCATGGTGGTGAAAACTTCAAGACCAGGCCCATTGTACCTCCAGCACCATTGTACCTCCAGCACCAATGTACATCCAGCACTTTTTTTTCGGGGCATCAGTGCAGAGCAGTGGCCAGAGCTAAGCTGCACTGGCAGGCACGCCTTTCCTTGTTAGATTTCCTTTCCTTGCTGGGAGCTCTACCTGTCACCAGTGTTTAGTTCCAAGTACCTGTCCTGTTCTGGTACCCGCAAGCCAGGAACTTTTGCCAAACCAAATGGACTAGGAATCGCATCTGTGATGCGATGCACCATGCTGTAGGCTTTTGACAGGTCCACAAGGTCAGAAATAGAAGCTTAAAAAGATTCTTTGTGGCCTTCGGTATCACTTCAGCAGCTTGTGCACTGGCCAGACTGTATCCTATGACTCACTGATACTGGCATTTAAAAGCCAAGCCAAAGCACAAAAAACTTCGGGCTGACAATCAGACTACTCCCAAGCACAGTGGGAAAGTTGCATCAGTAGAAGATGTAACCACTAAGTGAAAGGGCAATTGCTCTCCAGGCAGCTTAGCAGGCTTGGGTCCATGAGGGGTAGCTTTAAAGGAGAATTTGCACAGAGAAAGCACACAGGCCATTTCATAGGAGTCCCCTTTTAGGCAAGGAAACCAAGGGAAGAGAAGTCAAGTTCTAATCGTTTGTCACAGTTTGGTATGCTCTAAATATCAACTCCACGAACACTGGTGTACCACTGACTGCTAAGTTAAACATCTGGAGTATTTCTTTGTAATTTTTTGAGTCAATTAAGTATAAAAAATGGAGTATTTCAAAGCTCTGGTTCAGCAAAAGACTTGAGTAAACATTTACAGTGGAGTTCGTTGAGAAAAAAAGGAGACTGAATTTCACCTTACGTTTACTGAGCTCCTTTTGGATGTTCTTATACTTTAAATTAATCCAACTACTTGCTAGATACGTGGGAATTTTTTTTTTAAATTTTCTTTTTCTAGAATCTAATCTGACGCGCTGGGCCAACACACATGTTATTCTGAAAATTTATGGGGAACAAAAGTATTTCCTAAGATTGATGCAGGGTAATTAGTACCACCTCTCTTCTTTCAGTACTGTGACTCATAATAATATAGAACATAATTAACTGTAGCATTGTAATATATATAAAATAAAAAACAAAGGGTGCTGTTATGACACCACTCTGATCACAAAGAATCATTTATTTTTGATGAAATTATTAAAAAAAAATAACAGACAGAAGAAAATAAAAAAATGAAAACCCTTCCAAATACATCTCTCCCAATTGCAGAGAGAATCAAATCCTGTGTAATGGCTTCAGATCACCTTTACTACAAATTAAAGGTATAATATTTTTTGTGCAAGGTTCTAGGGCAAGATTCATTAAAGATATTTAACATGGTAGGATGAATAGCTCTGCTTCCCCAAACCTCCAAATCCATAACCCAAAGTACTCTTTTTGATCTCCTTTTATTGCTCCACACTGTTTTACAGAAATATAGCATACAATAAATGAGAAATCTGTCAAAGAAATTATCACTTACTCTTCGTTGCGCTGCCACTTTTATCTGCTGCTGTAGTGGTCACTTTTATTGGTGGTTGTGTTGTTGTACCTTGTGTTATTTGTTGTGTAGTATTAGGTGAAGAAGGCGTGGAGTCTAATAAAGGAACGACATTCAAATGATTTCCTCAATTTTGTATACACATATATGCACACACACAAAACACACCTATGGCCCTGCTTGCAGCCAAATTTTAAATTATCAAATGAGTATTTCATTTTAATTGAAGACCAACAGGGACAGGGCTCCCTTCACTGCAGAGAAAGCCACTCCCTATCCCTTAGGTGGGTCATCCCACTTACAGCAAGCGTGTGATAATGCAGTTACAAGGCCTGGCTTGGAGCCTGCCCAGGAGGAAACTCCTGTCCCCACCTTCAAGGTTTCGCCAAAGAGTTCGCTATTGGTAAAGCAAGTTCCCAAGCCAAGAGGCGATTCTGCTTAATTTCCTGAATGACCCCTGGAACAGCATCAACAATTAGCTCAAAGAACCTTTCACTTACTGCTTGTGATGGATTCATTTGTAGCTCTGATTGCAGTTGTTGTCAGCACTGATGCTTGCAATGTAGGTGCTCGTGAAGTTGATGGGTTCACAGCTTCCGTTACTGCAAGAAAGGCATTCCCGTCTGTATTGATTTATTTTATCACGCCTAAATAAACATCACATACCTCTAGCTGCCTTCTCTCACAAAGGCAGTGAATTTCTGTTTAAAGTCTGACCTTACAGAGCTTTCTTACTTACACATTTTTAAAGAGGATTCAAAGTGCACATGGTTGGTATCAGAGGGAAGATTTGGCCTGTGGACAATCCACAAGCTGCCCACTGAAAGTCAGCAGCTGTACCTTCCAGCCGTCTCCTAAGGAAGAGGCATATGCTCTTTGGGAGTTATACAGAGGTGCCTGGCATGACTGTCGATGGAAGAGGTGAGGGGAAAGGAGCCTGGCGTGGATGGATGGGTTCACTGTGCTACTGGACTGGACTGCTGACTGGCACTTTGCTGCATACTTGTTTAATAGGAGAAGGGACGCAAACTCCCCAGGAAGAAGCTTGAGTGACACACAGGAACACAGCTTATACATTACAGGTAAAGAACTGAAGGGGAAGAGACTCTAGTAGTCTTCACGCAATTTTCCCTCTTCTTTCTGCTGTCCACCTCGACCCCAGTTGAGTTTTCTTCTCTGGCTAGTTTTCCCAGACCCTATTCCTCTGCACTCATATTTCTGTGGAAAAAAAAAAGAGCACCTGGCAGGCCTTCCTCTGAGGTGTGCAGCGAAGCTTAGGACATCTTGGATGAGATGAATAACTGATATTCCCCAGGGTGAACTTGGTGCCCTTTGTAAGGTGACTCCTGGCAGTTGTCTTCTCCAGAGGGGTGAGATTTGGAGGCTAAGGGAAGGGGAAAGGGCTCCCTTGGCAGCGGGGATCACTTCCAGCTGCTGCTGGTATGGAAAGAGGGTAGCAGAGTTGCCCAAACCTCACTAAGGTAATAGCAAGGTTTCAAACAGCATGTCTTGCTGTGCATGGATGGCATACTGCAGGTCCTATGTGCCCCTGGTACATGCTCAAGGCTGGCCAAATTGCTGCTGAGGGATCTGGGTTAGCAAAAAATGTAACTAATCATTTTAAGAGCCCACTTTTCAATTCTGCAATCTAATACTAACAGAAAGTGCTACTGTCAGCTACAGAGGCTCATTTCAGTCCCTGTCAACAACCTAACATGTCCTACTACCTCTTCTAGCACTTTTCATGGATGGGAAACATGATAGATTAGGAACAAATCATGATATGATGTGTCATTTTCCCTCATATGACTTGAGTACTTCTAAATGCAGTGTTCACACCAGAACTTTTAAAATATAACTTATACTCTCTTCCTCTGCGCTCACTTTGGTGGCTGTTCACCTGGAATAGCAGTGCCTCAAAGAACGGACCTCCATGGGAGCTTGCTCCACACCCACAAAGTGCTTTAATCTCATTGTGGGTTTCTGAGCCTTTTCTCATAGGCATAAATAACAATACTGCTTTTCCTTCTGTGACAAAAAGCTGCAAGAGGAATTCAATGAACATTTGAAGATCTCGTTCACTGTGAGGTGCTGAGCCTTTATTAAATGTCTTTGAAGCAAACATGAACATCAGGGTTTTCGAAACATAAAAGAACTACAGCACAATTTGAAAGGGACTAATTCTTCTGCTGTAATAAACATAACATACGCATAATTCACCTAGCTGCATCTTATTTACCTCCATTACTAGTACTTCAAGTGTATACATCATTATCATTTCAGTGCTTTCAGCTCCAAAATAGACTCATTAGTATCTCAAGTTATCAAAAAATATAATCCTGTGTCCAGGATGTCCTGTCATCACTTATTAAATACAGCAGTCTTCAATATTAAAACTAACAGAGGAGTTGATATTTAGAAATATGGTCAATATTGATTTTTCATAACTACAAAGGATCTAAACCAGAATCACAGACTTTTACTATATGAAGCAGATACTTTCTGTGTTAGGTCTTCACAGTTTTAGGACTTTAAGTTTGATCTAGTAAAACCAATCACAAACGAGAGAGACAGAGTATGCAGCTTTTGAAACTGAGGGCACTGGTGCCACCCCCTTACCCCCAAAAGTGAATCTTGACATCAATAGTTTCAAGAAGTTACCAATAGCATTTTTGCAAATGACAGCTTTATGTACATGTATTCTTTCCTATTAACTGAGGCCCAACATTGGAATATTTTGTGTAATTCTTTACTGTTAAAGTCTGTGTCCTCTTCCATCACTCTACACCCATCAAATCAGCTACTCCCTGCTGCCCGATCCTTTAACTGATGCTGTTTCTGAAATTGTTCTCAATCTGACAACCTCATGAACTATGCCTTAGATAATTTTTTAATGTCTGTTCACACTTGAACCACTCCTTGAGGTCATAGGAACTCACAGGATTTCAGCCTTTTTCACCTGAAAAAAAAAAGTGCAGCCTGCTCAAGTTAACGTTCTGCTTACTAAGATCCCCCGATCCTTTCTTCTCAACAGACTTTTACAAGAGACCCAGGGAAAAACACTGCTCTACAATCACCTTGTATGAAATAATTCACCTAATTTCTCCCAGAAGTTGGAAAAGCTGAAAGCTACAAAGGCAATGGGAGCTTCAGAATACCAGGTAACAGTGAATTTGAACTTTTACCAGATTTCGATGTTGATGCAGAAACAGTTGCACTGACGGTACTGGTTGAAATGCCACCTTCTGAAATAAACACAGAAAGAATCATATTACTTCAGTCACCTTCCAGATCTATTTAGGACTATACAGGCATATGAGGCAGAGAGCAGCAAAGACCTTCCTGGAAAATCAAGTTCAGAAGCCTATTAGCAGAAGCAACCAAATCACACAACTCTGCCAGCAACCTTTTCAAGCTGTATCCTAAATCTCTTAGCCTTGCCCTCACTGCTGTAATAGGGACCATCTGCTACAGCCACCCCACCCGCTCCCCCTCGGATTGCAGGTTGTTTTCCAACAGGTATTATTGTCTTTAAGACTAGTTTGGGGAAAAAAATGGAGCAATTAAAGGTTTTTTGCTAGCTCCCCCTCTCCTTGAGTAAAACCACAGTTGCTCTGGGTCTTCAGGGTGGAGGATTAATTAAAATAACTGGCTGGAGGAGTAAGCACCCATTCTCCTGCCTTGGAGGAACAAAATTGTCCTAACTCCCTGGCTAGTACAACCACTTCAGGAGGAGTTTTCAGCATCACGCTGGTCCCTATATGTGAGGAGAAGAGGAAAATTCACAGACCGTGGCTTGGAAAGCACAAAGTTGAGTAATGACTGACTTTCCCCACTGCCCCCAAGGCAGTGCTTCAGCTGTTGGGAGTTTACTGCAGTAAATGATGCCAGTCTTAAAAGTCCTAGGTCAAGTTAGTAGGTGAAAGTCTCCAATATTACAAAACAAACAAACCGGCCAAAAAACACAACCCCACAAAACCAAAAGCAAAATAATTTCTATATATTTTGGCTGTGCTGAAAAGTAGTAACAGCATAACTCAACTAGACTTTTCGCTTCAAACAAGATTTTTGGTCTTATTTCTTGGGTGTTCCTATTTTTCTACTAAAAGAAGTTAAGGGGGTGATGAAGAGGGTGAAAAAAAATACATTGAGTCAGAAACAGTGGCATTTCACAACCATTTTACACCACTGTGATAGAAGTATGGGTACATTTGGGGTGGAAGACATCAGCTCTGCGACTCAATGGGAGAGCAAAATGGCACAGAATAATCCCCCAGTGCTTTCAGGTTTGGAGCGTGACAACCTGTCACACTGCATTAGCATGCTGTAATACAGACATTGCAAAACTGAGTCAGGGCAGCATGTCACTGTTCTTGTGTGACTCCATTCATGGTAATATCTGCTGGCATTCTCTCTCTTTTTTTGGCTACAGGGCAGAACAGTCAGCTTTGTTCCCTTTGCTCAGCATGCTGCGCTCCGATTAACATTTCACGAGCACCACCCGAGGCCTGCTGGAGTCACAGATCTAACCTGAGAAAAAAAATAATTCCTAATACAATTGCAGGAGCTCTGCAGGCGCATATTAAGGCCTAGTCACATGAGCCCTTACAACTCCTCTTCAAGCAGTGTGAGGTGTTATCGGCCCTCTTGGCACCTGCACATTTCTAACAGGCCTCAGCTGGGTTGTTGCCCCTTCCCAGTGAGCCCCATTCTCTTGGGCATCTCTTCTAGGTACGCTGCTGCCTTCGCAATGCCTCGTCACAGCACATGTTGGCCCAGTTTGATATGGGTATATCCCATATCAAATTAAATCAGTTCCCTATGGGCCTGCTGCTGCCCCAGCCCTACTCCCCAGGACACATGCATATAGTCAGGCTGTGGACAGCCCTTTGCCCAGTGCATTTAGAGTACTGTTTTTCCTGCCGTTTAGCTACCCAGTGAGAACAATGCTTCATAATCCACACCTGACATACTTTGAAAACAAATTTCGTCCAAATAGGCCGAAAAGCAATCTTGTTTCCCTAAACAACGAGCATTTTTTGATCTTTTCATTCTATTGCGAGCTGCTGACAAAGCTCCTGTAAATCCTCACGCCACGAGGCCACAGCACTAAACCAGAATGTTTTTTCAACAGTGCCTACATTTCATATGGTTTGTTGTAACATCTCTCAGTAATGACCACATTTATAACACCAGCCAAATGCACTAGCTGGCCAGTTAGCTCATTCCCTAACTCTTCCTTTAACTTAACATTGTGGAAAGCCCACTGCAATACTTAGATCATTCATCCTTTAAAGGCGTTCCATTTAATAACCATGTTGATAGGCTGAGGTTTCCTCAAAACTAACAAAATTGAGAATTTAAGTCACAGTTTTGTTATGATTCACAGTTTGCTGATTTTATCACAGGCTAGAGATAAACTAAGGTAAATTTGATTAGCAGAGTAGAATAAAGTGGAGTTTTATGAATTAATTGTTTTCTTAAAATGGTGGATAATTAAGTATACTTTAAAAACAAGTTGAAAGCAACATGCAAAAATGCTTAAAACCAGCCAGGATTTCAGGGGAATTGGTTGATTAAAAGAAGCGATAGAACTGGTGGCTTATTATGCTCTTATTTGCAATGTTAAGTTGTGACTAAGGAGAATCCTATGGGGGATAAAAGCAAAAGATCAAAAATGAGAAAAGAACTTTGGCACATTAAAGACTGTTGCTAGACAAAGACAGAGACCGAAAGATTAATTTTTCTGCTCATGTCTGGTTGTTTGCAGCCTCAGATGATGGACAACCAATTAAGTTACAATTGCATGTTTTTCAGCAAATTCAGATGCAGTGACCCCTTTGATATGAGAGCACCTTGATGTACTCTGATGTGGGAGTAGCCAAAAACTACTCAGCAACGGCTCCCACACACAAAACTCTCCCACTTGCTGTGCTCCCTGGCAATAAACTCAGCCAAAAGAGCATAGGTGACCTGTGATGTAGCACCCTCCTGTCTGGAGAACACACACAGAGCTAAACGCTGCTCAGATGTGACACTGGGCTGAATAAAGGGGTGATGGTAAGATCCAAAAAGAAAAAAAACATGTCTAAAAGTAGATAGCAAGGTGAGAAGAAATCACAACTGGGAGAAAGACGACAGACAGGAAGAAGATGACAAGGGAAGGGCAGGAAGGCCCAGAGACGGCAAGACAATAAGGGTGGCAGGGAAAAATAAGAACGAATTAAGAGCTTGAAAAACATTTGACCAATGGCCGCAAGGCCAAAATGAAAAAGGAGAAACTGTTGGGCTTGGTTTTCTTTTCCTTTCAGGTTCACAGCATTTCCCTTTATTGTCCTTTCTGGCTTGGATTTAAATTGTACATTTGTTCTAAAATTAAAGTAATGATGAAATCACTTGTATCTGGTCTTCAGACACGATTTTGAAACAAACTGAACAAACTGAAACACTGAACTTATTTTCTTTTTGAAAATATAGGAGGAGTCCCTGAATTCAGCCAGGGCTGACCAATGCCCAGAGCTGTCCCCAGACTGCAGCTTTTGATGTAGGCTTCAGTCTCCAAGGTCTTAGCTTGGAGCTTTCATCATTTCTTCCCTCTCTCTCACTCATTATTTTTACCTTTATACTGGGAAGAATAAGATAAGCGGGTTTTGACCTTGTGTTAATTAGGTGCCTGTCATTGCTATAATCAAGACAGAAAAAAACGAGAAATGACTGCATGATATTACATCAGTAGTTATGTTTAGACACTACAGGATACTACAGAGCAGAAACCACTAAGTTTAAAACACCACATGAAACAGCTCATACAAAAGTGAATGCCAAGAAGTCAAAACAAAAACATTTTTAAAGACAATTAGATTGTTCAAAATATATATTGATTATATTTATTTCATGAGTTACTGAATTTAAATGCTGTCTGTTTTGGCATTAATATCTGATTTTGAAAAGAAAATATTTTTATGGAAAAGTCACTATGACTACAGAAATAGCTAGTGAAATGGCCTGTTTGACATTTTTTCACTTGACCTTGCACTAGGTAGACAGGAGCATATGTTCATATTAAAATCCCTCCATTCATATGAGAACTGGTGAGGCCACAGCTGAAGTACTTGGCCCAGCTTCTGAAGGGTGTTGAGAAGATTGTGGATGCCTGGGACAGGGCTTAATAGAGAACCATAAAAATCATCAGATGTCTAGAAAAAAATAACCTCTCAAGGATGGCAAAAATGGCATTTGTTTAGCCCAGAGACGGAAAGATTAATAGAAGGCATGATAGCAGCACTCTAGTAGGCGAGGAGCTGCAACAAAGACAAAGGGAATAAACTTCTCATTAAGTCCGCTAAGGATGAAACTAGAGGTAATAGACAATGGAAATTTGAGCTAGAAACTTTGCAGGTTTTTCAGTGCCTGTGTCAAGTGATGCTGTAACAGCCAGAAGCTAGCTTTTTAACCATTTTCTTGATGAAGATGTAAGATATTCCCACTCAAAAACCACAGCAATACCCAACAGCAATTACCAAAGAGGTGTCTGGAGGTAAGTCCTGTACACGTTAAGTCCCTGCTTCAAGGCTATCAACCAGAATGTACAGGTGGTGGTGTTATTTTAGGTTTGTTTGTGTGACCCTGGGCCTTTGCAATTATACACAAGTCTCAGAGAAGTCAAAGTTGCTTTCTAGCTTTCTGTCTTTCCACACCATCAGAAATAAACAGTGATCTTTTTCCAGGAAGCAAATGATAATTCTGCCAGCCCCCATGACCATGATAGAGCCTCCTGTAACAGCTGCACCAGCAGTATCCGTGGGAAGACTGTACACTTCATCTGACATTTTGTCCTTTTAGGAGAAAGTTATAGCTGTCCTTGTGAGAAAAGCTGGTACTGATATTCTCAGAGTTCCCAATAAATAGCTGCTGCCAGACAATGTACACAACCTGTTTACTCTTACCTTGGAGCTCCGTTGTCTATTACGTTTTCTCTTTCATTTTCATTTATTGCTGCTTCATGTCTTCATTCTCTTATCTGATCTTTCCCCAGGCCTAGTGTAGTTCTGGCACTTCTCTTATTTCTATTTTTACTCCTCACCCATCTTTCTTTCCTGGTTCATGACATTCTACCCTAAACCTTGAGATAAATTCTTTCTTCTTCAGTAATGCATTTTTGAGTAAAGAGTCCTGCATTCTCCAAGAAAAAAAAATGGTTTGCATAGATGAATAGTTCATCTCCCATCAACCCGTCATTGCACAA